GATGATTGTAAAAGAACATGATTTTTCCAATAACTTAACCAATATGTGTCCCCCCCAGTGTTAAACTCATTCCTACGCCCCTGAATATAATTAATCTGCAAATTAAAGTGAATTTAGTCAGCTCTCAAGGTAGTCACACAAATTGTTTGCAATATATAGTCATCATTATTAGTTTGTAATAACATATATGATTTTATGAGTATAAATCTGTGCAGATGTTTGCTAATAAAATCTTTTGTTAAAGGTGTTCAGGGACGAGTACACCGCATATGTGCCTTAAAAGGTTCATCAGTAGATCTGCCCTGCTCAACTGAACATCCCACTTCAAGCATAAACTTGTACACCATACACTGGGATGGATCCAAGTTTGTTGTGACTGACTTGTCTGGAGATGGAAATTCAACTTACATTGCTGGAAAGAGTACAGCCACTGTAACGATGAATGACCTAAGAGAGAGTGATTCAAAGTTTTACTGCTGCGGAAATATAACTGACAAAGCAGGACACTGCTGGAGCCATAGAGTTGAGCTTAACGTTACAGGTACAGTGACAGGCTGTCATTTATTGATTTTAGAATGGCATCAGTATATTAACTCTTGTTTTATTCACCATCATCTCAGACCTGCAAGTAAAGGTGATTTTCCTGCCACAGGAGGGACAGACAAGACGACGTGACTGTGTCGCACAGCGTGTCCTACTGGGGACTGAAACCCGCCTGCAGCTACATCGTTTTGGTACGCTAAGAACGGAGAGTTTCTGCTATCAGGTAACTGGGTCTCGCCTCGGTGACCAAATAGCTGGTCTATGCTGTGACGGAGCCAGTCGGAGAGTACGCTCCTGTGCTATAGAAGGCTACGGAGGATCTCAGAGCCCCTGAGGGAGTCTCAGTGGGTGAGTGACAATGTGATGAATCGCGAGCTAAACGTGCTCTTAAAGTTATAGATTTTGGATAAATCTTAAAAGATACATTATGATTTTGTATAGTCTATCTTGATACAACATATCATATATACATAGCACAACTTATCACTCAGCAGTGATGTCACAGTGTCCTGGGGTACACCTGTACATCTCTACAGCAAGGTGAGAAGTTAAACCACTGCAGGTCAGTTAAAACAAGATTTTCAGGGGGTATTAAGTTGCCCTTTAATAACTCATTGCAACCTTAAATTGTAATGCTATGATATACTGTGAATACCTTCATTATTAAAAATACTCAATGTCATTTCTTTTTGCCCAGATTCTGTCACATCAACCTGCTTTACTGTGACCTATGCTAAAGGGAGAATGTGTTCTTATAAGCAGACATCAGAGGATGAGCCCTGCTCCATCACATACCCAACAGGTTAAATTTCCCCAAACATACACACATTCCCACCTGCACACCCTTTAAAGGGTAACTACACCCTCAAATTCTGCTAGAACTGTAGAGGCAACTAACTGTGTCGTGGGTATGTGGAGCTTTGACAGTCACTAGATGTCTCAATGCATACCATACCACACACACCTTTTTAAAAAAAAGGAACAATACCTAACATTACCTTGTTACTGACAGTGACAGTACTTTCACAAATGATTTCTTACAGTCAGTAATAATCAAATAATTCATTTGAATAATAATTTAAAAAAAGATTCATTGGGCGTCCGGTTAGCTCAGTGGGTAGAGCTGGTGACCCATGTACCGAGGCTGAGTCCGTTGCTGCAGGGGCCGCGCAGGCGTTCGAATCCGCACTGGTGCGCCCGTTTGCTGGCCTGTCATTCCCCCTTCTCTCTGCCCCCCCTTTTCACTGTGTGGTCTTTCGAGCTGTGCGGGACTGCATCATAAAGGCAATAAAATACTTTAAAAAAGATGTATTAACTAATATAACATGGCACAGTAACTGAAGTGTATTTATCATCTCCTAACAGAAGTACATGTTCAAAGGACTAGAGTAGATGCGGACTCTATCAGACTGACCTGTACGCCCAGCTGTCCTCTGACTGACCCTCAAACTGCCTATAGGTGGTACTTGAGGAAACGCCTTTACAGATTATCTGAGAGTCAAAACTTAACAGTTCCTACATGGTCCGTTGTGTACGATGTTTTCTCCTGTGCTATAAAAGGCCACGAGGAACTGCACACTGCTGAAGTCTGTGAGTATAAATGAGCTTTAATGGTCTATTATAACTAAGGGACATTTGCATCGGGTAGCCATAGAAAGGAGATAATAATGTTTGAACATCACAGGGAAACAACAGAAACACCTAAACCTAAAGGGTTTAAAACTTCTAACTTATAAGCTTCTATAACTGCAGATATGATTTATGATTAATTAGAACGTAAGTCTCTAGTTACTTTTTATTATTGACTCTCTATATGATGATTGCTTATTATACAGAGATGGCCAGTGAGAAGTTCAGGAGTATTTGTTTGTGATTTACCAACATTTATAACAGTTTTATCACCAAACAGAAACATGCAGAACATTGATTAGTGCAGATTTTAAGTAATAGTGTCAAAATCTACAATGCTATACAGTGCTAAAATGTATTGAATTCAAAATGTTGCAAATCTTAAAATCTCTAATTCTTATCAGCACAAAAATACAATGAGAAACAATTAAGAAAAAAATGCCTTTACATGCCTTTGAAAAATAAATACAAATTAAATAAATACTTTTATTGTCATTGAACAGAGAACACGTACTGAGACAATAAAATGCTGTTAAGCAGCTAACCAGAAATGCAAAAAGCAAGTGCAGAGTTCATATTTTATAGAGATACTAAATAGAATAAACAGTAAGGGGTAGATATGAATATGTTAAGATATATAGAACATTAACATTGTTTACAGTATGAACAGTGTCAAATGAATAGGTAACTATATTTAAGCTTCTCTGTAGATCCAATTAATGTTTTATCAGTTTTTGCCCATTTAACCAGTCACTTTTGCTACTTTCAGAGGGATGTTCTAACTATTTTCAGGGTTTATAAGGGCGTAAATAAAACATTTGAACAACATATGTATTTTATGTCTGCAATAGAGTTAAAGTTGTCTAGGTTACGTATTTTTTAAATAAACCTAAAGTAATGTAATGATGACCCTACAGAGAATTATCACCTGAATCTGCTGCTTTATCGAGCTTGTTTTGCTGTCCTATCTATATTTCAGGTAGCGTAGATGGCACCTGCTGGAGTGGGAATTATGCCAGTAGACGACTCTGTGCTGTGGAAAGCTCTTCAGTTAACATTTCCAGAAAATACACAGTCAAAGAATCCAGTCAAAGAATCAACAAAAACCATAAATTTTGGTATAAATTAAAGAGAAGTGGTGAGGATGATGCTGAGAAATTGATAGGGAATGCAAATCATCTGGAGTATCATGACAACATGCATGGCAGCCACATCCTAAGAATCAATAACCTGCAGATGAATGACTCAGCAGAATACATATTTCTACATGATGAAAAATGGGCATGGTCTGATTCTCCTGGAGTGACTTTGGTTGTCACAGGTAATTATTTTTAGGTTGAATATCTTTCAGAATTTGTCACTCTCTCATCACATACCAGCATCAGTCAGCAAACTACACTCTGTCTGTACACTGCGGTTGAAAGGCTGGTTCAGACTTAATGTGGTAATAATGCAACACTTTGTCAAACACAGTAGCTTTGTCCATATTTTGATGAATCTATTATAGTGTTTTCCTGCTTAGTTTTGTTGTTTGTTTTTTGCTTCAACTCCACTCAAAACAGCTGAACATGAACAGGAGTCAGTTCAAGCGTTTTAAGGCTGTCTCTGTACAAAATCCAACCAGTTATGTAGGAGCTTTCGTCTTTTGAATCTTTACTTTATGACTCACATTCTGAGCAATCAGTGTATCTTTTTTACTCTTTACTCTAAAAGATTTCTTCTTCTAAATGACTGTTTATCCAATTGGCACAGTCAAGTTTCAAAGCATCAACACATGTCTCTATCTTTACATTTACTAGACCAAGTCATAACCATCTTTCAGGTCTGGAAGGCTGACAGTTTACTCTTCTGCAGGTGGCTGACATGGAGGGGTCAGCAGGGAGTCCACTGAACCTGCAGCTACCCAGCGTGTCCTCTGGACTGACACACAACTACATCTGGTACCTGAACAGTCGACCTCTGGACCCTGCAGAGAACCAGAACAACACACCTTTGCGTTCTAGACCCAGTCAGCAGTCAGCATGCAGGAAACTACTCCTGTGCTGTCAAAACCCACAGCTCAAATGAAAAGACTCTCACTGTTAAAGGTTTGCATGGGTGTTAATTCAAACTGAACAGTTTGTAGGTATTAGAAGCACTTTTGCAATTGTAACTCAGGCATTGTAAATGAAAATGGCACATATTCAACCCTCTGTCTCCATATTCTTTTAAAGTTTGTTTCCAACCAGTACCACAAATCTTACATCCACCTCTCTCTGGCTCTAGGGACATCAATGCCACTGATTAATGCAATAAGACTGGCAGTTATATTACTGATCCCAGTTCCACTACTTTTGTTCCACCTGTGGCTGAGGTAAAGGACTCTATTTTTATGTGTTTCTAATTTTATTTAATCTTATATTTCCCTCAGTCAACTCTGTTTTAACTGTCCTGCAGGTGGACTCGCAGTGTGAGAACATCTCAGTGAATCCTTCAGCACAGAGAGAACCAGCAGACAGTAGGAAGACACTGTGTACCATCTGGTCATGTATCTACGCCGAACACTGTGCACCGTGTGAAAAAAATGCCTGTCTTTATCATTTAGGTAGAATTTCAAGAATTTCATTATACAACAGCATATATATTTAGTTGTACGTTTGAAATCATATACTATGTGATCCAAGTGAAAACATGAATATAACGTTATTAATATTAGTTTGATGGATATATTGAGTTTGATAGTAAGTCAGGACTTTGACTTTGTCAGTTTGTTGTGCATTTCTTGTTTCCAGAGTGGCTAAAACATTTAACGCAGCTTAATTATTTCATTGGAAGGTTTGTAGTAATTTTTACACTGTAAAATTAAAAGACTATAAATATAATTTGTACTCAAACTACTATAATCATTATTATTGAAATACAAGTTCATGGCTGATCATTGGTCTTTGTGATGCTGCACAGAAATGACCTGTTTTTATTGATCTTATCCATTGTGTTAACTCACACTACATGTTTTAATTGGCCTTTCTGCACAACCAGAACCTGTGAGCTTTATGCTGACACTACGCTGCCACCCAAAGGCAGAGTGCAGTAGAAGCAGTGAAGGTGGGGAAAAAAAGGGTTTCAGGCTGGATGGCAAACTGTTCAACAGAACAGTTATGTTTTCATTTTGTGGCTTTTTAGGCTGCTATAGAACCCACACAAGTATAATCTGTACGGTGTCTGCCTAGATTAAAGCTCCCCTCCACTCAAAAATATGTTTTTCCTCTTGTTCCTACAGCTGAATGTTTGGATGCTTCACTGTACAGGGGATTGCGTCAAAGATTAGATTATCAAACAATATGGACCGAAACAAATCTTACAAGAGCAACATACATATCTTTTCAATCCAAGTTAACTTTATCTGCCCTTGACTAAATTAAAGTTCTTTTTCATCAAGCAATTATTATGCCACTGTGATGTAGAGTGCATAGCTTTACACAGAAAAAGAGCGATTAGATTACACTGCGTGTGCCCAAAAATCACCCAAAAATATTCTCTGCATCCTGTAAGTTCAGGAAATATGCATTTGATATGCCTTTTCACCCTGCATCATTGATTAAAAAATGAAGCCAAGTGTGCAATGACATATTTGTACAGAATGAACAAGAAAGTGTTAAATGCAGTGCAAAAATGTATCTCATCTCTATATGCAAAATAAATCTAGCATACCACCCAGCCACTGCAGCACCCTTCTAGCTGGCTGATGCTGGAACAATTTGGAGTATTGCTTGAATAAAAAGCACATCAAAATCTATTTGCAGTCACAACAAAATAAATAAATAAAGTTGAAAATGTTGGCCCAAAGACAAAAAGTGGAGTAAGTCAATAAGGTGCTGTGGAACAGTAAAGGTCAGAGACTGGAGCAGATACCTGTGGTGTACAGTGACACCTATTGTACACTGGGAGACACATAGTGTGCATGTCCTGACAAAAACTGATACACACACACAAAAACTGTACATGTACGGACACAGACAACAACAGCCTACAGATACAAACACAGAAATACACACATGCAAACATGCTGCAATACTCACTCATTGATGCTGCACTGCCAAAAACCCACACACTTAGAATGTTAATGTCTGTGAACAACTTTCTAAACTTTCTTTTTATTCATAAATGGAATTTCAAATCACTGCCCTAATTTCTCTTCCCGCTTCTCTCCTTTTCTGGCTCACTCGCTCGCATCTCCTCTCACACTTGCAGTTGAAATGGAGATTGTGTTTTCACAGTAATGCAGAGCAGACCTCCTAAAAATGGTCTCACTTAATAATTCAGCATTTGAGTAAAGCTGGAAATCTGAATGTCACTGCATGTGATTGTGTGTATAAGTGAGACTGAAAGACAGTGAAGAGGAAAAGGGAGAAAAAGACAGGGCAAGGGAAAGCAGCGGGAGAGAGCGAGGCTTGAGAATGAAAGAAGAGAGGAAAGAGCAGGAGAAAGAGATAAAGAGAATTTAGAGAGTGGTGTAATAGGGTTTGAAAAGCCTTTTAACATTAGTACTTACGGGCTACTAAGACTGTGTGCAAGCATGTAGATAGTAAAGAAAGCTTGTGTGTGTGTGTGTGTGTGTGTGTGTGTGTTTACTGTAGACTGGATTCACACAGTGATGTAGACACCTTCCTCATGACAATACAACTGTCTTTAAGTATTTCTCTGAATGACTCTCTTTCTCTGTTTAATCCTTTGGACTGGTATATATTTAATAATGAAAAAGGAACTCTGACATTTTGGTAAGTATGCTTATCTGCTTTCTTGCTGAGAATTGATTGATATACCACTTTTATGTCTGTACAGTAAATATGAAGTTACAACTGGCAGCCAGTTAGCAGTACAACAGTAAGCCTGGCTCTGTTTGAAGGTAACAAAATCTGCATAACATAACCACAAAAACTAACTAGCTTACACATTATATTTCATTAGAGGTGGTAATCTCACCTTCAAACAGAGCTAGGCTAGTTGATTTCAATTTGTGCTTCGATCTTCACATCACACTCCTGCCAAAATAGTGCATGAGTGCATTTTATAAAATGTAATTTATTATTAATGGATTTTGAAGGCCCAGTGTGTAGAATTTAGTGGCATTTAACAGCCCTATCTAGAGCAAGTATTTGCTTTGTCCTTTCTGGGGCCGCTACACAAGGCGAGGTATCTGTAGATATAAACGTCTCATTCTAATGTAACAAAAACACAAATATTCTTATTTTCAGGTGATTATACGAATAAAAACACAATATTATATTCTGCCAATAGAGCCCCCTAAATGTTATAGACTGACCTTTAAGAGGCACCTATATGGAATAATGGTTCTTACCTGTACTTTTTTCATTAGCATAATTCATTAAGTGCATTTTGTAAATTCCTTTTTGTACCTGCTTTTTGAGTGTGTATTCCAAGGAGAAACGGGTGTGTATTATAAAGGTTCCTATGTAATACACAGAGTATGTAGTGGCAGGCTGTAGCTGGGTTTAACTGCGGCATGCAGAGTGTAACAGCATTCAAGCTGTCAACCCAGTTCACTATAAGGGAACTGAACTAGACAGGAAATCAGAAACACACCATTCTCTACTCCAAAAGAGCCTGTGTTATAACGCTCACACTGATGGCGCTCTGAGCTCAAAGAGGCGGGTGCAGGCTGTGGGTGGGCTGGTTTCCACTGAATTTCGAATGGATTTGACAAACAACAATAGAGTTGATGTGGCATTTTCAAATGTAGGGCAGTCATTTCAGCACACAGAAGGTAGCAAATACAAGGCTGTAAGGAGTACATTGAGATTGGTTGTTCAGTGGGATGGTGCTTTCTGTGTGAGGAAAGAGTGATGTCTCAAAAAAGAAGGTGGAAATAGCTATTTAAAGTGTCAGCAATGTTGCATATTTTTATTATGCAACCCTGCTGTGGCATATTTTTTCATCTGAGTTCACACATTTAAGTCAACAAAGATTTGAGGTGAACAGATTCTGAATTCCATTGTAAAACCCACTATTTGTATTCCTTTGTATTTATTTTGCATCAATCAACTTTCAGCCCTTTGCTGATTGATGAATGATTTGATTTACTTTCCACACATCTGTTTAAAAAGACCTTTAATTTCCCAGTGAAAATGTCAAATACCTTTTTACACTGACAACAGTGAGTCGTTGATCAGTACAGAAACCTCCTGGATGCTTTGGAAAATTCCAAAATGTGATGTGATTTATCATCATGATGGCAAAAAAGGGAACTTTGTGGGCAAAGACTGAAGCACACAAACATTCTACAGCCACAGATCATGAAATAAAACAAAAACAAAGCTGGATTGTTCACAATTATGGCTTAAAATTGTTTTTCCTTTCTTGCTTTGCATACCTCCAAATTTTTCAAAGTGTCAACACATTTATTTTGGACTTTAATAAGTGGATAAGCAATTATAAGTTTTATAGTTTTTGGAAAACCATTGCCAGTAATGTAAAATAGTGAGGAAAGCAGCAAATAAGACTAAAGTCCATTAAATGTGTTTTCAGTTCTACAAAAGTAATTTGGCTCAAGTATTTTAGATTTAATTTGATTTCTGTTTTAAGTTGGATATTTGCTGTAGCAGCAGATACGCGGTAACTGTGGAAGCATACTAACGTGGCTGTACTGTAAAAGGTGGTGCATAGGACACAGTACACTGTCTTCTTTAATATTGTTGGACTGTGACTCCTGGAGGTGCTGAAGTGAATCAACCATGAGTGAATATTATTACCACACTTAACCCTGAGACCTCTGACCTGTCTCACCTGGCATCTGATGATTAATTCATTGAGATGGGTAACTGTCAGACAGGCAGAATGAAAGGCAGATTAAACAGGGAAAGGGACAGATGGCTTGGAGACAGGAAAACAAGCAGATAGTCAAACTGAAAGACAGAAGAGACATGCCTCTATTGTAAGATAAAAGAGACAGGATTTAGATAAATGAGTACACAATGGCAGTTTTGATAAGTTGGCAGAGCAGTAAAAGAAGCTGAGAACATCACTAATGTGTTAATTTATGAGTCTGGATAACTTCAGAGTCAAAACAAGATCAACCTAAAAAAATCTTAGGTCTGATTTCCAAAGCCATCCATACTGTATGAGTGAAAGAGGACAAAAAAAAACTTTGTGCTTCTGTTGGTTAAAAAAATAGCTTGAACTTTACTGAACATGATTCGCTATATAATAAGGTTCCCATCCTAAATGCCACAGCAATTATATGATACATCCTTGTGTACTTTATACTATACAATGTCAGTGACAAATTATCTCCAACTGCAACTTGTTTAGGCTGCTTATTTTCTCTGTGCAAAAAGAATAAAAACAAGATGTGTTTTGAACCCTTGTTTCTTGCATATCCAAAAATCTACAGATGTATTTTACAAAAATACTGTATACAATATACTGAATTGAATTATGGATGAGCCGTCTAATGAGCAAATTAGCGAGTCAGTTACAGCTGCAGTATTACTCCCCTCCTGAGGATAATCAGTTATTTAAAAAAACACATATTTCATTAAATCGTTGCCTGTCAGAAAATACAAAGCTGGTAAAAAAGAGAGGAGGCAATGTGATCTTGGAATAAACCCTCTTCATTGAGTGACAGTTTGGCTCGTTTGACAGCTCACAATGTGAGGCCTCTGACAAAAATATCAAACAGTTTGATGACAATCTGGACGTCCCAGATGAGGTCATGATCACAGGATGCAATTAAACGGGTCGCCAACCCTGTCACAGTATGTGGGCGACCAAGCTCCACACTGACCCTGCTGACTTGCTGATTCCAAAAAAACTTGTAGGGGACGGTCTACCAGAACGCAGGCCTGTTCATTAACACATGGACTGCAGAGAGTGACAGTGTCACATCCCCTTCTTCCCTCTCTCTATGTCTCTGCGTGAATGAGTAGCCATTCTTTATTCTGCCTTGAACCAATTAACATGACAGGTGCACCAGCTGGCACAGGAGGAACTGAGTCTGCTTTCTGCTAAGAACACACCCACCCATATTGCAATAGAAGGTATGTACATGTTGTTACCAGGTAAGGTTGG